ATTGCGGCACCAGCAGCCCAGGAGAACTGAAGCCGAAAATTGGACTACATCCTCAGACCTCATAGCGGCATTGTCCGCACGTGGGACAGATAAGTTTACAGCAGGGGACACTATACTACGCAAAACCATCCCTGCTACCACTTTACTCTAATGCACATTTATTTTCTTGAAATGTTATTGTTTTTTCCCTTTCTTCTTTTTCGTAGTCTCCCTCTTCATGGCCCAGCTACTAGCTTTGGGGATGTTATACCGAAGGGGGGGGGGGAGGGGAGAGCAGATAGACTACATACCTAACACACACGAATCTGGCTGAAGCAGACACACAGCAGCACGCTAGGACCCGGGGGGCTAAACCCGCGGGGACCACCTGCACATACCCCAACCCCCACCACCACCTAACCAGGAAGCCCCGGGCAGTGTCACAAAAGCAACGGTGGCATCTAGACACCATAACCGGGAGGCACTACGCACCCGCTAACACCGCAACAGGGATTACCTACACCTTCCCCCCCCAATCCAACAAACAAGGGAACAATAGCTGAAAAAAAAAAAAAAAAATAAATAAAAATAAATTAATTAATTAACATAACTAAATAAACAACAAAACCCTCCTGAGGCATCCTCCACCCAAATGGGACCGGGGTTCACTTCACTTCAGGGTAAAACCCCTATGACCCGTGTGATGACAGGAACCGGGGACAGGTGCCGCGGTAAAGCGGCCAGGGTGAAAAACACAGGGCACGCAGGGGCGGACACAGTGGCTTACCGCCCCACTGAATCACCCTAGACAGTGGGCGGTGAAGCAATGTGGGTTGCCCACCACACCATAGTGGACAGACGCGGGGGGATCACCAACTCCGAGAGGTGACTTTTTGCACGCCACTCGGAAGGGGTGAACGCCCCCACCTTAATCTGGCACAGGTTAAGACCAGATTGGTTTTATGTGTTCATGATATTTGTTTACATGCATGTATGTTAAAAACGTTCTTTGACATTCACCATTTCCCTCTTTTCCTTCTACTATCTCTTAAGACAAGTATTGATCTGCTACCCAAATTGTCTGCCGGGATGCCGCCCGCACCACCGAGAGGGGTTCTCACGACTGGCCATACTCACGCTGAGCTCCGCGGTTCCGAGAGGACCGGGGACCCCGCAACATCAGAGGCACTGTTCGCACCCCCCCATGGCACTTAAGGTACTGTCCCTTAATGTCAAGGGTCTTAACTCCCCCAACAAGCGTAGACTACTGGTAAGGGACCTAAAGACCAAAAGAGTTGACATTGCACTGATACAGGAGACACACCTCCCCAGGTCGGCGCCCACCAGACTAACTGACAGAACCTACACGATAGTACACGAAGCACGCTCCCAACGTAAGAGAGCAGGCGTGGCGATCCTCCTGCATAAACACTGCCCCCTACACGTCACCACCATCCAAACCGACCCAGAGGGGAGATTCCTATACATAGGAGGCACTCTATACACCACAAAAATACACATCATTAACGTATACGCACCCAACGAACCAGATCAGCTCTTCTGGACAAACCTAGAGATGCTGGTGGCGGGGGCTAGAGGGGGGGTTCTCCTCGTTGGAGGAGATTTCAACGCGGTGCCAAGCCCGGCGGCAGATAGAAGCTCAAAACCTGGTACTGTGAGATCACAGAGCAGGGGGAGCCAAGATAAGCTATTACACACGTTCCTGACACACACAGGCCTACTGGATGCTTGGCGGCTGCAGCACCCAACCACATCTGACTACACATTTTACTCCGCACCACATAACACCTACTCCAGAATAGATAACATGTTCCTTAATGGGGCAGGGATGGCCAAACTCCTCCACTCAGACATTAACAGCATCACGTGGTCAGATCACGCGGACGTAACACTTACGTTAGACAACTTATGCTATAAATCCAACTGGTCATGGAGGCTCAACACTAGCCTCCTGAGGGACGACAACATACAAACATTGACCCGACAGGCTATCACAGAATACTTTGAAACCAATGCTACTTCCGAAGCTAACCCCACCGCGATCTGGGCAGCACACAAAGCAGTCCTACGCGGCCACTTCATTAAACTAGCCACCCAAAAAAAACGAGCCAAAACAAAACAGCTGCTCGACCTACAGTCAGCCCTCCGTAAAAAGGAGCAACAACACAAAACGAGCCCAACTGACACGAACCTCAGGGAACTAAACGCACTTAGGCACTCCATCAGGGACATTACGCTGGAGGCGGTATCGCGCTCCTTACTGTGGTCGAAACGCCTATTCTATGAAAAGGCAAATAAGACGGATACACTCTTGGCTAGGGTCTTGCGCCCACGGCCGCAAGGCAAAACCATAACGAAAATACGTACAACAACGAACACACTAGCAAAGACGCCGGACGCCATTAGTGAAGTGTTTACATCATATTTCTCAGACCTCTACAATTACTCCCCCCACCTCCAGGCCACCAACGCGACTTACATGACACGCATCCACCAATTCCTCACCGAACTTACCATCCAAAAAGTGAGCCAAGCAGATGCTGACGCACTTAGAGACCCTATCACACAACTCGAAGTGGAGGCAGCCATAACCTCCCTGAAAGGCAATAAGGCACCAGGGCCTGACGGATATGACGTCAGTTATTACAAACAATTTAAAGAAGTATTGGCCCCCCCACTCACAGTCCTCAGTAACCACTTTATGCAGGGCGGGAAACCCGACAGAGATATGGCAACGGCAAATGTAGTACTACTGCCAAAACGCGGGAAAGATGACACATTAGCCCCCAGCTACAGGCCAATATCCCTCATCAACACCGACCTCAAGATATTCGCTAAAATATTAGCATCCAGACTCAACCCCCTTCTCCCGCGCCTGATCCACCCAGACCAGGTGGGCTTCCTGCCCGGACGCCAACTCTATGAAAACACACGACGAGGGGTTAGCACAACATGGCACATGGGGGAATCCAAGGCGCCCTCTCTGGCGCTCTCACTGGATGCGGAGAAGGCATTTGACAGGGTGCTGTGGCCTTATTTATTCGAACTACTCCGTCTCCAGGGGTTCCCAACAACTTTTGTAACAGCAATACAAGCATTATACACTGACCTGAGGGCACAAATACTCATCACGGGGGCACACAAAACACCCTTCACCCTGCGAAATGGCACCAGACAGGGCTGTCCCCTGTCCCCCTTACTTTTCGCTCTAACTCTAGAGCCGCTGCTACAAGCTATTCGGCAACATCCACACATTAAAGGCATTGAAATTGGTGGCACACCCTTCACGGTCTCGGCATACGCCGACGATATCCTACTAACACTAAGGGAACCGATACCCTCGCTCTATCATCTAACACAAGTCCTGGAGCGTTTCGGGGATATAGCGGGGTACAAAATCAACTACTCCAAGTCAGTGGCAATGCCCTTCCACCTAGAGCCCCCAGACGTTGCCCACATACACCGCACATATCACTTCAAGATCGCCACAGACGAAGTCATGTACCTAGGGATCCGCCTGACAGCTAATACATCCTCTCTCTTTACACGAAACTACACGCCCCTACTCCGGACCCTCCATACTGAACTGGAGCAGTGGACAGACAGGCCCATCTCCTGGCTGGGACGCGTAAACTCTATAAAAATGAATGTGCTACCGAGGCTCTTGTTCCTCTTCCAGGCACTCCCGGTACGAGTTACCAAAGGAGACCTCGCAGGCATACAAAGGGCGATAGACTCCTTCATTTGGCACAACAAACGCCCAAGAATAGCTCGCGAACTTATGTACCGACCAAAACCCAGAGGGGGACTGGGACTGCCTAATCTATACGCTTACTACTTAGCAGCGCAGCTAACTCAGGTCATACAATGGCACGCACCTCCAGACAGGAGACGGTGGGTGGATCTGGAATCATTAATGACAGGACAAGACCTTCCACAGTTTCACATATGGGCACCTAGAACTCAAAGAGCCATACTACGAACCACAAACCCGGCCATACTCAATTCCATACAGATATGGGACCAAACCAAAACTAAATACGCCCTTAGCCCCCGCTTATCTCCCATGACGCCGGTCCTCAGAAACAGAGATTTTCCCCCAGGCATGAGGGCGCGAGACTACAAGGGACTGGAGGCCACGGGACTCCAACGCTATGTCCATTTATTTGTGAACCAAAAAGTGGTCACATACGACCACCTATGCACCAAAGCCACCTTACAAACAAGAGACTATTTCAGGTACCTACAGATTCGAGACTTCGCGCAAAAGCCCGAGGTGCAAAAAGCGGCCCTGACTCCACTAACCTTTTTCGAAAAACTTTGTCACGATGAAACCACACAAACTAAACTTATAACACTACTGTACAATCACCTTAATGGGGCAACGGGAGGGGAGGGCACGCTACGCTACACTGACCAATGGGAAGCCGACCTGGGGGAGGTCCTGGAGGGCACGGAGTGGCAAGATATCTGGGAGGCATGCTCCAGAACCACAATGTGTGTAACACTCCAAGAACAATCTTATAAGACGCTATTCCGATGGTATACGACCCCGGTAAAACAGAAACACATGGGACTGAACCCCACAGACGACTGTTGGCATAGGTGCGGGGGACGGGGCACATACATCCACATGTGGTGGGAATGCCCAGAGATCAAAGCATACTGGCGTAACATAGTAGAGCTCGGCTCACAAATCCTAAAACAACGACTGACGCTAGACCCATGGGCGTGCCTGCTATCAAGGCCCACAGAGGGCCTCCCCAGACACGAACAAAGACTTCTCAACATGCTATATCTAGCGGCCCGAAGGGCCCTAGCACAACAGTGGTCATGCCCAGACCTCCCACAAATAGCCCTGGTAAAGGCAAAAATGCGAGACAATTACATAATGGATAAATTAACAGCACAGGTGCGAAACACTATGACTAAGTTTCAGAAGGTCTGGGACCTGTGGGAGCAATACGACAGTTAAATCCTGAATCGGGGCGTAGGGCGGCATGCGGGAGCTCCGCAAAAATGGCAATAATTGGGACATACCCAATGCTAAATACTACACCAGCGCCTGGACCGGTGGAAGCGGCGCCACTATGGGACAGGGGCACGGACACACACACCACACGGAGTGCTATCCGGGGAACCCGGGGACCTCTGCTACTGGTCCCTCGGGAAACCATACTAAGACGACACCTAAACGCATTTACTTGTCTATACTTTCCTATCTCTCACCTCTACCTACTTATTACAAGCAGGCACTCCAGACTCGCAAGCTGGTGAAAGAGGAGTCAGGCTTCAGTACGCTTATGCTCTGCAGACAATGGGGGAAGTCGGGGGAGCAGTCACGGGCCCTGAGAGGTCTGGGACTGCTACTCTACTCCCTACGCCTACCCCTCCACACTACCACCATTGTATATAGTTAATTGTGCTTGCCAGCATAACCGAAAATATCGGACGGGGACGTCCGCAGGGTATAAAGTGTCGGTAAAGTGCTTAAAATAACCAATGCAACTTTCATTCTGTAACAATGTACGACACTGCGCTGTCACTTGCATATGTACACCTGCATATTTCTGTGTTGACCTCTTCGTCAGACCAAAAATAAAGAATTCAAAAAAAAAAAAAAAGGGTACAATCTCCCAGGGCCATAGTCGCAGGGCAGGAGGCTGGCAAGCAGGCCTCTCCAGGACCAAGTGGCGAAGGGCACTTCGTCACATAAATAATGTAAAACAAAATAATTTAAGAAAAGCTGCAGCCTTCCACACATGTTTTTGTGGTTGATCTAAAAGAAACGTAAACACTCAATTTGATAAAATGTCCAAGTGTGCCACAAACATTCCCAAGTGATATAATTAAACAAACTGTATTTGTGTTCTTGAGTGCTCTGCTAGACCAGGACAATGCAGAATATATATGTGCATGGACCAAAGCTATTATGAACATATTTAAGTGTTACTCCAAGCACCATGACCACTTCAGTATTTTGAAGTTGCAGTCTCCTATGACTTTCTGTGGTAACCCACCTCTGGCAGTGTCAATTGGTGACTCAGAATGATAGTTCAGGGCTGGCTAATGTTAATTCTGTGCATAAAGACTTCTGTTATCAACTTGTATCGCACACTGGCAACTGACCAATGACAAAATACCTCCCCCGTGCTGCCTATACTCTCTTCAGCCTGTCCTCTGGGATTTCCCTGTCCCCGCAGTGCAAGGGTGTGGCATCAATAGAGGAGGAGCAGGTTGTGGGAAAACTTTGCCTCTCCGTTCCATCTCAGGTAAGGTTATCCTTTGTTTGTTTTTATTTTCTTTTACAGGGGTCCATGCCAGCAAGGTTTATTCCATACAGAAATGGTGTTTTAGTAAAACACTACTTTGGTTGGAGTTATCTTTTAAGTAAAATGTTATATAACTTCAAAGTTACATTTATGAACAAAACATGTATTGTAATTATAGGTTAATACTGAGTGAAGAGCCTTAATAATGCTATCAATAGAACACAAGGTTAAAGCATATGTCATCAAAGCATTTTGTTTTGTTCTGGATAACAAAGGGTGTTCTGAAAGTATTTCTCTATGTTCCTTTGCTATAAAAGGACTCAAGCACTTGAATATGCATTGCAGTTAAACATGTGGAGTGGCAGTTAAGTTTATTTCTTGAAATACCATTCACTGCCTCCAAAGCATGTTGCTAATAGCCAATTGTCATTATGCCTTATATGAATATTCTATCCAGAGAGACACAATTAGCTGGTTTTATCTAAACACAATTGTAAATCGTAGAGCATACACTTTATCATTTCATTTTAAAATTAGACTTGCAAAACCTGTTTTTAACCCTACTTGATCTGCTTGTTACTGATCTCAGTAAAAATCAAAAATGTTCAGTTTACATAATTTATTTTTGATTTAAGTAAAACTGACAATTGCTCTGTTTACATAATTTATTTGTTTCTAAATATATATATATATATATATATATATATAGTTACATAGTTACATAGCTGAAAAGAGACTTGCGTCCATCCAGTTCAGCCTTCCTCACATTTGTTTTTTGCTGTTGATCCATACACACATTATATATATGTATTATATTATATATATATACACACATACATACTTCTTACGATAACTTGGTACTCCACCTTCCATTAAAATAAAGATTGCAGCTTGCCTGGGTGCTTCAATCGTCAACGTTAGAATATTTAGACAGCAAATGAATAAACAATGCACTCACAGGTCTTGAAAACAGGAAAACTTGTATTTTGAAATCTCAAAAAGCTGTGTACATTAATTCAACGTTTCGACCCCATTCGGGTTTTTTTCAAGATCACAGTGCATGTGTAAACATTATGAATATATAGCAAACTTACCCCATCCAATTAGTCCAGTTCGTGAAAAGACAGCCCATTGACTGATTATACACAGAAGTGATGTCTGTGACCTGCTTACTGTGCGTGTGCGTGGTTACTACGGGTAACGAAGATACAAAGTACATGATTGTTTAAAGTTGCAATAGAAGAGCTTGGTAACTACTATAGGGCCCATAAGTGTGTGGGCCACCCGATGGGCCCCACATGTGAGGCCCGGGTGACCGGGTCCCCCAGGGCCGCCGAGACTGTGACAACCGTTATGGTTGTCACCCCCTGATGGCGGCCCTGACCATCGGTTACAGATATTATGATAAAGTTACAGGAGGATATTAAAAAATATCAAAATGATTTAATATGCTTTAAGAAACAGAAATTGGACAAAGTCAATAATGAATATAAATATCATCAAGTGTATCGTTGGCTAAGCGGCACAGAATATAATAATCGTAACATTACATCCAGGTACAGACAACCACCAATACATCGGAGGTAACACCAGTAGTGAATCTATCTGAGAAAGTACTGAATTCTAATCTCTATTCAGTGGTCAATAAAGAATTAACCTTTGTACCTGTATCTAAACCTAACAAATGTAAAAATCAGATTGAGATGTATAAATTACAAAGGACATTATACACCAATGAAATCAGAAAAGACAGTGAGGACAAAGACAAATACCCTTTTAAAACACGAGAAAAAAGAGATATATACGAACCAACAACATTTCGATTAAAGCATTTATGCAAGTGATTCAAATGGAAACAGACCCCATCATCCAGAATCCACCACGGTATAATTACAACATGACAAAAATAGAAAAAGAAGCATTGTCTGATTTAATGAATGATCCTAAAATCATAATTCAGCCTGCTGACAAAGGTGGAGCTATTGTGATGCAGTCATATAGCAAATATAGACATGAAGTATTATGGCTATTAGAAGATGAAACAACATATCAATGACTTACTTTTGATCCGGTGACTAAATATCAAAAAGATCTATAAGACACTTGAAATGGGTCAAACTCTAGGGTATGTGGACAACAAGGTGTTCCAATACCTATATGTAAAAAAAAACGAAACACCCAGTAATGTACACGATACCTAAAATTACCAAGAATGATGAAAATCCCCCCGGCAGACCCATTGTGTCTGCTAATAAAGGATTATTAGAACCTATCACAAAATTTGTGGATTATCTTATAAAGAGTTTCATTCAAATTCTATCAACATGTCTAAAAGATACAACATATTTTTTTACAAGGCGTTGAAAGAATAAAATTGGATGAAGAAGAAACACTACTAGTTACGATGGTGTACAAAGTTTGTATACGATAATACCCCACAAACTAGGAATGGAAGCTATTAGAGAAATACTAGTAGCAGCAACAAGGGTATAAAGGTCCACCTATTGAATACCTTCTGGAAATGCTAGAAATTGCATTAACCTGTAATTACTTTAAGTGTGAAGACATTTTCAACCTACAATTAACGGGAACTGCGATGGGGGCAGCTATGACGCCCTCATATGCCAATGCATTCATGTACTGGTTTGAAAGTAAATATATTTTAACCACATACAGAGAAAATATAATAAATTACTCAAGATTTGTAGATGATATCTTCCAAGTGTGGAAAGGAACCAGAGGAGAACTAACGGATATGGCGGAGAAAATCAATTCGCAACCACTCTCAGTCAAACTTACGGTTTCTAGTTATCCTATGAGTATACCATTTCTGGATGTTACTGTATTAAAAAATACAAAAGAAAAAATATTGGACTATACGTTATATTGAAAGCAAACAGATAAAAACACATTATTGTGGGCTACAAGCTTTCATCCTCAATCTTTAAAAAATTCTCTGCCCATTCCACAATTCCTTAGAATACTGAGATATAACAGTGATCCAGTAAATAGACAAAGATAGCTTCAAGAAACGTGGAACAGATTTATAAAAAGAGGCTTTCATCCAGACGTTCTAACACAAGCTAAAATATAAAGCTATAGAGCTCTACACTGATACAACTACAAGAGAAAAATGTCCACAAAATAAAGTGTTTCTTACGTACTTACGTACCATACAGGAACAATGAGTCTCAAGAAAACAATATACCAGCACTGTGGCAGGACTTATCTTTTCGGCTCCGTTCCGGCATTTACGGTATGCGGAACCGTCCCCGCCCCCTCTCTGAAGTGGCTCTCTCAAGCTTTATAGAGAGACCGTGCCAGATTCAAAATTGCTTAGTGATTTCTGGTTTAATATTTCCGTAATCACATTGCCGGCTAAGCTCTTCTCCGTTAATACTGTGTACCGAACCTTGGACTGTTTAAACGGATTCCTGCCTTCTCATCTCCCTTTGACCACGGACCGTGTATTGGACTTACCTGCTCTCTTTCTAATTATTGGAAACCGGACTGTTTGATGTTTAATCATCCTGCGGACTCAAACTAACCTGTCTTTGGAGGACAACTCCCAACAATCATAAGTATACAATTTGATACTATCTCTGAGTTCTTACTTTGCTAATGAACTGTTACTACTAAAATACTATTACAATTATTAATGCTTTATGTCTTCAACTAACAACAAGCAAAAGCCATGCTGCCTTAAAGCTACAGTAACCTTATTAATTAATGGATTCTCATTTCACTCTCTATTATAAAAATAAGGAAATTTATAATCTGCAGTTGTGTTCCATATTTAAACCACTTGTAACATAACACACTGGGATATCTTGAAATCCAATAAAAGCTTACCAGCGACCTTCAGAGAATCACCAATTATAAGTTATAAAAGAAATCGAAATTGGAGAGACCTATTAGTACGTAGTGATCCGAGACAATGTTATGAAAAACCTAAGATCTTTAAGAAAAAAGGATGTTTTAAGTGCAGTGGATGTGTAACATGTAGCCATATGCTGCCACCTT